ATATATGGGAGCATATACCTCCAGAAGTTTTACAGAGATTCAAATTAGGTATGCCAAATCGCATCCAGGAACTAAAAAAAGCAAAAGGATACTGAACACTGTGTTAACAGCTCTTTTTTTCGTAAAAATTTTCAAAAAGTTATTAAAAATATATGAGGGCAAAACTGTAACATCTGCCTTAATTTACATCTTTGTCTGCTGATTTTATTATTGTTGTTGGATTGACTTAAATTCGTTATGAGAGAGGAAGTACAGGTGTACCAATAAGAATATACAACAAAAGTATAAATGTCGTTAAAACATGGAAAGATAGCGATGGCTGAAGTAAAAAGTGTTACACCATGTTACAGTTTGGCCCGTCACTGTACATATGTATGTATGTATGTATTTATGCACCATACAAGCGTCCCGAGTGAGTCATACGTTTAGCGCGCTTTTTTATGCTATGTTATGTTTTGATAAAATTGACCCGCTGAATATTTTTAAAAGTCCGGACGTATAAGTGTCGCGATTTTTCATATTCGTACCGATTAAATACTGATTTTAATTGTTTTCTTTCTTAATTTAACAAGAGTGTCTGGCCCAAAAACAATTTTTCGTATAAACATGTAGCCAGCATCCTTATTTTCTATGATGTTTGGTTATGTTTTATACTGTCAAATTGTTACTCTCGCTATGTTGCAGTCATCATTCTTTAAAAAAAAATGTTAAGGTTTTTATAATTATTTAGTTTGTTTTTTTTTATCAAATGGTTCTAACTTGAATTTAGTGAAATTATAAAAAATAATACTAATTCTCTAAAAAAATTCGTTGATATAAGCTGTTGATACAAAGGCGAAAATATAAATACGAAAGGGACATTTTAGTATTCTTTGGCTATTCCCCATTCGATTATTTATTTTTTATTATTTTTTATGAAAGTCTAACTTGTTATGTAACAGAAACCATGTAAATCAAACTTTTGTACAAAAACTTGCAAAATTCGAGAAAGTTTCATCAAAATTTTGTGCTTGTTACTTAGATTTCTTAGAAACATTCTAACTATGCCGCTTTTTAGCCTATTCAATTTTAGTAGTGCAATTTTAAATAGCTAAGACTTACCTGATGAGGAGATGGGGTGATTTTTGAAATAGCTGCTATAACTTCTACCACTTACACTTTGTTGCTTTTTCCATTTTTCCTAATAAAATAATCGTGGTACAAAGCTCAATAAAAAATAGTAAAAAAAAACAAATTTAAAAAAAATAAAACTGTTCTGAGTAGCATTTTATATAGTTCTAGAGTTCTTGAACATGGAAAAAGGAAGTTCTGCCAAATTACGCCGGAGAAAAGTATTTTTTTTTTTTTTTAAGTCGAAAAGGTAAATTTTTAAAAAAATAAAAATTAATGCTGTTCTGAGTAGCTTTTCAATAGCTCTAGAGTTCCTGAGAAAAAGTTATTTCTTTTGCTTCATGAGCTTCGAACCGTTCTAAATATCCACTAAATTTTTTACACAAAAAAATACGGGTATTCTTTTTTCCATTGAGAAAAATTCAAGGAGGTGAGAGCTTAACATTTAAAACATCTTTTTGGACCACCCTAGTGTACATAAATATGTATCTGCATATGTTCATAGTGTAGGTTTGCAATTCATGTCTATTAAGTTTGCTTGTTGTGCAAAAAGTAGAATTTACTGCAACTCTTTTCTGCTCCGACTTCACCTTTGAAACTAACAGGATGTCCGCATGTATTAAAAAATATGTGTGTATGCAATGCATATATGTATGTATGTATGAACACCTCTAGTTGGCGTTTGTTTACTGTGCAAATAGTAATTGCAAATATTTTAGCATCTCTTTACGGACACGTGCCGCACGATAGATATACATATACATACATATGCAGATATATCTATGTGTATACTCGTGTCCTCGTCTGTTTATGTGTTTTCTTTGAGCACAGGTGCAAATTTTATAAATAGTCCATATCTAGGTTAAGTATTCTTATACATATATCATTCATTTGAAGGTCACTTTTTCACTTAATTTATTATACATGATTGCTTTAAGTGTTTTCTTTTTCTAATTAACTTTTTCTTCTAATTGCAGGTGAGCTTACTAGAATTGCTTACTCACTAAGTAATATGCAATATTATCGTAAGTATTTAATTATTTATATCTGTATGTTATCTCTGGAATTCGAAAAAATGCATTTCTGGTCGCATCTTTATAAAACAATCCTTATACCATGTTCAAAGAGCCAGCTAAATTAGGCAAATTTAATTTTGAATTAAAGTTACCAAGTTTTGGGTTGACAGCTGATGTTTTTTACATTGCTCGTAAAGAAGATGAATACACATCAGTTCCAGCAAATTCACTTCACCAGAGCTCAGTTTGATTAGAAGGAAATCAAATAAAAAAAAATTAATATACTACGTTTCTATAAATGGACTAAAAAGTAGAAAGTAATTTTTTCGTAGACTCATAAAATTTATGAATCTTGATAAGCTTTCATTTTAAGATTTTAACAATAGTCATTATAAACAGCTTATTATATTATGAGATTTAAAATAAAAATGTATTACATCCGTACTTGATTAAAATAATTAAAATACATTTTCAATAAAGAATTTTTTTTTTTTTCAAAAATTTACCCAAAAATGCGCGAAGACTTTATATATGGCCCGATATTTGTTTTCCATTTCTGTCCTTGATTTTGGGGCTTCAGTCTTTGATTTTGGTTTTAAATTTGTATACTCAGTTTTGAGTTTATAATTCCAATTTTGGATTTGACTATGACTAAATTTTTGCCATTGATAAACTTTTCAGATTGTAGGTCAATTCAAGTTAATGCAGAATAGCTGAGCTCAAAACGAAAGATTTATAATTTTTTTTAACATCAAAACTACTAAAATTTATTTGACCCAATTTAGTTGACTGTCTGAATATAGCATAAGTATCAACGTTGTTATATGAAAAGTAAGTACATTAATTTGAAGTGAAATTAAATCCAAATGCTTACTATGGATTAAATCTATAGATATATATATTTTCTCTGTAAATAAAATCGTTAATCTAACCGTTATTTATACTAACAACTCCGAAGCTGCGGCAAATCGGTAGTGTTCAATATGTAGGCGTCATAATAAATAATGCTTGGATAAAGATAAAATTGATTTATAACGATTATTTTTTTAATATTACATATTTTTTTTTTTACATACAATGACTGGCGGACTCGTAATTCTATGAAATTCATAAAATGCAATGAAAAAGTGAATTTGTATTTGTAGTTCGGCCTTTTTCATTTCAGGTGGCACTGTTAGTTACAGTTTTTCAGGTATTTCAGGTGACGATATTTTAATATTATAATTTTCTTTAACCAAATTTCTACGTACCTAGAGTGCATCTAAAAGCATCATCCCCAGGACTTAGCTGATTGAAAATTAATTCTTCTTCTTATTTTACATAGCTGAGAGAAAAGCAAGTGTATAAAAAAAAAGGATATTAATTAGTATTAGCTTGTAAAAACATTTACGTTTCATGTACACTCGTGTTTACAAATTTGGTATTACAGTCTGAGTTCACATTGCATAATTAACCGCTGGCAGGCGTTTAACTATCCATTTTTTCCCCAGTCAATAAAGGCTTAATCGTAAATTAGTATTAGATTTCAATTGTTTTTGTTGAATGAGATTCATTTTACGGAGGACGATATGAATTTTTATTGTTAACTATGTATGTACATTAGAGTGCTTCCACCAAAATTTGTTATATTTTAAGACTTTCGATAGACAAATTTGGGAAAATATTAAGATTTACGTGAGCTGAGCCGATTTTAATTTACCTCGAAAAATTTTATTATTTTGATTTCTTAAAAACAAAAACAGGAAAAATAGTTTTAAAAGCTAATTTTATTTATAAGAAACTTGGTTTTGGGGACAATTTCAAATAGGTCCAGCTCGCGTAATCCAATTTTTGGCAGCCAATGTCAGTTACGCGGTTTTGCAGAATGACGATACGCGGTTTTGTACTTTAAACGACGATAAGATAAAAAACAGCATCGGAAATCCCATTTTTATGATTCCGCTGAAAATTTTTATTCAATATGTCTATGCAGATTTTTTATGCTTAAACTGTTTTGTCATCTGAGTTGATTTTTTTTCCAAAAAGTTCCTTACGAAACTAGTTTTATTCACAAAAAACCCCATTATTAGAGGTGTTTTTCAAATCGGTCCAGCTCACGTAAATCTTAATATTTTTCCGAAACATTTTGCCGCAAGTCTTAGAATATAATAGATTTTATAATTCCGGCGGGAAAACAGCCACATTTTGGTGATGCAGTCTAATGTACATACATATGTGCATATGTATATTATGTAGTTGCATCCGATTTTTATACCCGAGCGCACTTGTGCACAAGGGTATTATAACTTTGTTCGCATAACGGTTGTTTGTAACAGGCAAAACGAATCGAGATAGATATAGACAAATGTATACATAAATGATCAGAATGAAAAGAGAAATCGATTAAGCGGTGACTGTCTGTCCGTCCGTCCGTCCGTCCGTC